CACTGCTTTCAGGCAGCCTTTCATTGTGTACTGGAGAACGCCACCACTCACCACGGGGTGATTGAATAAGCACCGTTTGGTGAGACCGGATGGAATTCAACTTTGAAATCTGTGTTAGGGAAATCACTTATCACAGGTTATCGGTGATAATTTTAATTAGTATAGTAACAGTTGCACATTCGTGCAATTTTCAATAGTGACATTTTAAAAAATGATTTAGTCTTTGATTTAGCAGATGCGTAAAAATATTTCTGATCGAATGATGATAAAATTATCGAAATTGGTTCAGTAGCAGCTGAGTTATTAACGTTCAAAATCTTCCATAATTTTGTTACATGTTCCATTTTCGATTTTCACAAAGTGTACCCCCATATAGAAATCACAGACGTAGTCCTACGTCAAAACCACATAGGTCCTATAGGTATGTGTGACCGCTTATACATTTAATTTGACACAATTGCTTCATTAACTTTTTGCAAGGCGTCTGCTTATTAGTTGACTTATACATTTTATGAATAATCAGAAATAGAAATTTGCCAAAAGGTATAAGGAGTTTTCTATCCGTGTACCAATCGTGCAGGAATGTTCCAAATATCCGTTAAAAACCATTATTGATAACTCAATTTTCAAAACGGTCGATCAAAGAAATGTTTCGAATCATTTATTGGCCCACACGTTAAAACGGCCAACAATGTATTATTTGGGTGTCGTGTACTGAACTGTAGAAATGCTAACAAAAACTTAGATTTTCTTACATAGTAATAGAAGTAGGCAGATTATTATCAATCCATTTTCTGGTTTGTTTATATTTTGGTTGTAGGTCCTTTTAAAATGTTATGCGAGATTGGAATTAAAATGATTAAAAAGGTCGATAAAAAGGCAGCGATTATTTACAATGCATTTTCTGGTTTGTGTTATACTAAAAACTCACTGTCCACTTTTCGGCTTGCTTGGAGCTGCAACCGGAGTGTGACTTCGATGATGAGGTAACATTATTCTGTATCGCGATGTTTGATTCGGATTTAAGTATTCAGGGCAGTTAAAATCAACAACAGTGAAATATAAGTCTTCTGCTCCGGTACATTACTTTCAAAACAAACGAGGTTAAATATCCAACAACCTTAAACTCGAATTGTTGTCAAGAAATAAATTAGAATTGTATGTGTATGTATGTATGTATGGTAGCCACCATCCCTTCAAAGATCTTGTCTTGTATGCAGCTCCACTTAATAGCAAGATCAATTTGAGCTACCGATCTGAATTCACAATATCGCTGTATGAAGGGCCAAAAACGGAGGTGCGGACCCGTAACCAGAGACACTTACACGAAATCCACGGGAATTTAAGAATCTCCTTCCAACGATACGATCCAACAAATCGAATAACGCAATTCGCAATACACTAGCAATGAGAGAAAGATTCGCTCAGAGAGCAATAAAGTTTCTCAGAGTAACTCTAGAATGCTCTGAAATTTTCACTGGTATTGCCTAGTTTGAGATCACCAGTTTTTACACATCATGCTCATGCTCATGTAGATTTGATGAAAAACTTAAAATCTTCTCTTGCATTAATGTATGACTTAGGTAAATAAGTGTGCGTTTGACTAGTACTGTCGCATTAATAGCCCTTCGCTCATTTTCAACTTCTATTCCCTGCGCTTTGATCAGAGAGAGTATATAGGGCATCGTTGTGCCAGGTTGGTCGTGGCACATTTCATGTATGAGAGGGTGATTGCAGTGTGCTCAAAAGTGCCTGAGTAAAATATAAGACAACATATCAAGAAGACTGGCAACTCTTCCATTTTCTCATGCGACCGCTTTGAGACCGACAAAATTGCGTCATTTGCCGTGCAAAGGTAAATGATTCGAACAATTTTGATAGCAAAGATTACAACCTCAGAAGAAAGCTTTATGTATTTGCTCATTTTTCTATGTAGTAGTTCCACTTTCGCTCGAGCACAGCGCTACTGTATCTGTCGCTTGAATTATGGTTCAGTTGCCAGTATTCTTGATTTGATGTCTTTGGTAAAACGCAAGTATTTTCGATGTTTACTCGTAGTTGCGATACACAGTTCGAAAAAGTAGTGTAAATTTCTGTTCAATACGATGCACATAAATAGAGCGTCACGTACGTTTACATTATATATCATGTAAAGCTTTTTTTTTTTTTTTTTTTTTCCTTGGATTTGTTTTCCGTCGATCTTGTTTTCCGTGCTGAGCACCAATGCTACCGACGCCAGGAAGGCAGCTCCCACACCTGGACCCTTTCTATCGACCCATCAACTCATGAACCGGGGACCAACGGCTTCACTTCCCTTCCGAAGGAAGGCGTGATCAGAGATGTTATGCCTCAGAACATCCCGGCGGCGCCGACTGGGATTGAACCCAGGCCTGCTGGGGTGAGAGGTAATCACGCTTACCACTACACCACCGGCGCCGCTATCATGTAAAGCTCTGACACATTTCATGCAACGTAGCAAATAATGTATACAAAAGCCCATCTTTGTAAACAGCATTGTTTGCAAGTTGCTCGGTTGCGTGAAATGAAATACAAGTCTACGTGAATGAATGTTTACATCACAATTAAAATTCAGAATTTTTATCTGTGTAGTCAAGATGTACACCCATTTTCTTGTTAATGTCCGGGCGTGTTTGCCATACATAAACCTTTTTATTTGATTTTATGTGGGAATGGGTTTCGGGTGTGGACTGGCATATGGGTGATAATATTAAGTTTAAGTTAGGATAAAGTGGAAAACTTGATAAATGTATCGCTTCAGTTTTAGAAGTACTTCGCTTATCAACCGATGAACTATTCTGATAGCCCACTAGACTGATGCAAAATTTGAAATGTTTGCTCCACAGTGTTCGAACGGTTTCAATTTGGTTACGGATTAGCCTTTCAAAATTTGAAGTAATTTAGTAAGAAACTGACTTGGCACAAACCATTTGAAGTTTATATGGAAATTTACTATGGGAAAACCAAATTTTGTATTCATATCTATCTAATAATTAATTCTATAACTCTGCTGCAAAAATTTATAGCTGTACTTGTAGTAAATTTTTACAGTTACAACTTTGTTGAAAACCACTTTTCGATCAAATGTAAGCAACAAAAGTTATTAATGATTCAAGTCACTATTGTCTTATGATTATGCTCAATCAACTGCTCAGCAGGCAACATTGGTGTTTCTGGCGCGTACAATAGAGCTAAAACATCATGGCTACTATGTCACACTGCAGAATACAGAGTTGCCCACAAAACATTTACTTGATCATGCCATAAGATTATCAATCTCTTAAACAATTAATAAGTATTTAATATGACGTTTGACTGAAAAACAATATTGGGCAAAGTTGTAGATGAGAAATTTTTCCATAAGAATAGCTATAGATTTTTTTAACGGTGCAATATGGAAGAAGGATAGAAGACTACGAAGAAAAAGTTTGGTTTCCCCATAGTAATTTCCATATAAACTTCAAATGGTTTGTGCCCAGTCAGTTTCTTACCAACTCAGTTCAAACCTTAGGAGGCTAATCTAGACCCGATTTGGAACCGCCTGAGCACTGTGGAGCGAAAATGTCCAATTTTGCTTCAGTCTTATGGTCCACATTACTGTGAAAGCACCGTGAGTTGGGAGAGTCCAATATGGGACAGCTTGATGTTTATAAAGTATTATCAGTTAAAACTGTATTTTTGAGCTTTATCTCTATATTATCTTTGGTGTTTCCTAGCAGATAATCATGTTTGTGTTCGTTGATTCAATAGAATTGAGCTGTCCATAGTTGGACGTTGTTGAACTTGTGGTACTTGCACAACATTTTACAGCGCGTTTTCAAATCCACCACATGAACGAGCTGTCACTGTTATAGACGGTCATAGTTGTAGACCTTTTAATGTGCTGCCCTGGTGTATCCAAGAGTTGATGATGAGTTTTTGATATATCAATCTATAGAATCTGGAATTCACATTGTTGTTCATACCTTCGAACCATAATCCCGATCGGGAAAAAAAATCAATAGCGATCTATGGGGATCTGTAGCACATCTTCTGGGTTTTGTTCCACTTAAATTGGTCCATCCATCTCTGCGAAAATTAAGTAAGCTACACTCATACATACATACATACATACATGGGTTACAAATGGTGAGTTGACAACCTAGCTCTGGTTCTCACAAGTTCCTACCTCACACCTCCCCGTGGTGTAGCCTGCTCAATGTTGTCCTTCTGACAATAGCAAAGTGAGGGGGTGCGACGCGAACACTGGCGCGGTAACCATAACACGGCGATAGAGGAAATGCTTCGTCAACCCGCAGGAGTGCCAACCGGCACATTAGGATCGACGCCAGTAAGATCCTTATTACGGCATACTGGACACGGCATGGAACTATGGACACAACACGGCACAATGGACTGGATACCACGCTACAGGGCTGACAGTCGTGCTATTCTGCTCCCTATGTAAAGAAGGGTGACACCTTCTTGGAATGGCGAGTGGGCTAATAGTGCGGCTGCTCCCGTCCCGGTAAAACCTTGGCAGGCCTCCAGATACGTTCAAAACTCGTCACCAATTGGTGATTGGTGAGTAGTAGGCTCCCATGAAGGACCGTGTCAACCCTAGCATGGCTCCCTGCTTGCATAGATAACCATGGGATCACGATAGGAGACTTCACACAACGAGTGGAGATAGCGGCCCGGAGGGGAGACCCATCAGAATGGAGAAAATCGGAGAAAAAAAAAAACAATAAAGACGAAAATGAAAAAAAACCAGATAGACGCCAGATAGTGAAAACGGAGGAGCGAACGAGTTCGCAAGAAGCGGAAAGTTGCAGAGATCACCAGCGTCAAACCAGGTGACCACAGCGAGTTCCAGTAGTAGCATACCCCAAGTGGAACAGCATGGATCCCAAGGAGAGCAGCTAGGTGCGGTGCCATGCCAAATATTCACACCGAAATCCAGCAGTGGCAAACAGCAAGAATCGCAGCTTGGGAGAACCAAAATGACGGAGGTTAGGAGGAAGATCGAAGAACTCTATGTGTTCGTGAAGGATAAGAACAACATACGCAAGGAGGTCAAGCTACGAGCGACGGTCATCAAATCCGGCATAGCTGTGGCAGATCAGGAACTGCAAGAATGGAGAAGAAGAGCCGAAGCGGCCGAAAAGGCTCTGCTTGAGGCCAAGGAGAATGCAATGCTGGGTAAAGCGCAGGAGACGCCGAAGGGACCAACGAACCCACGTCCGGAAAAAGATAGGGAAACGCCAGGAGACGAAAAGGACCCCAAAAAAACACAAGGACGACGAATACGGGGACAAGGAGCAAGAAGATGGAGAAGACAGTGATCGGCGTGAAGTCGAAAACCAGAAGGAGAAGAGGAAAAAACTGAAGGAAGAGGAACAAAGGAAGAAGGAACAGAAGAAGAATGAGGAGAAGGAAAATAAGAATGAAGAGGAAGATAAGAAGAAGAAGAAGAAGAAGACGGAAGAGAGGAAGAAGGAACTCAAAAAGAAGGAAAACCCCAGGCATCGTAGGGAGAGAAGTAAGAGCGACGCTCTGGTTATCGAGGCGAAAGACAAAACGACATACGCAGCACTCCTCCGGAAAGTGAGAGAGGATCCGGAGTTGAAGCAACTAGGCGAGAAAGTGGTGAGAACCAGGCGCACCCAGAAAGGCAAGATGCTCCTCGGGCTGAAGAAGGACCCGTCGGTGAGGAGTTCAGCCTTCAAGAAACTCGTCGAAAAATCTCTTGGTGAGGACGCGAACGTAAGAGCCTTATCGCAGGAGTCAGTAGTCGAGTACAAGGATCTGGACGAGATCACAACGGAAGACGAGGTACGATGTGCGCTGAAGGTGCAATGCAATCTGGGAGATGTGCCTATGACAATCCGGTTGAGGAAGGCGTACGGTGGTACACAAACGGCGTCGATACGACTTGCGACGGACGCAGCTAACGAGTTGCTGAAGACAGGACGAGTCAAGGTTGGATGGTCAGTATGCCCCATGAAAGCTATCCCTCGGGCTACCAAGCAAATAGAGAGATGCTTTAAGTGCATGAACTTTGGTCACCAGGCTAGAAACTGCAAAGGCCCTGATAGATCGGAGCTGTGCAGGAAGTTCGGAGAGAAGGGGCACGTTGCTAAAGACTGTATGAAGCAACCGAGGTGCATGCTCTACAGAAAGGAGGACGGAAACGGTCATATGACGGGAAGTTTCAGGTGCCCAGCTTACAAAAAGGCGATAGCGGGCCAATAGTAATAGAGATAACCCAAATAAATCTCAATCATTGTGCACAGCAACTGTTGTGGCAGTCGACAACGGAAACAAAGTGCGACGTTGCAATGATTGCGGAGCCGTATCGAGTCCCTTCCGATAACGATAACTGGGTGGCCGATAGAGCAGGGATGGCGGCAATACAAGTTATGGGCAGGTATCCCATACAAGAAGTGGTGACGAGGTCTTACGAAGGTTTTGTGATCGCCAAAATTAATTAAACCTTCGTATGTAGTTGCTATGCACCCCCGAGATGGACAATGGAGTAGTTTCACCAGATGCTAGATGGACTCACGGGGGAGCTCACCGGACGGAGACCAATCGTCATTGGAGGAGATTTCAATGCTTGGGCAGTGGCCTGGGGAAGCAGATATACCAACGCAAGAGGGTTTAGCCTGCTGGAAGCTCTGGAAAAGTTGGACGTCAGTCTGGCCAACGAAGGAACCATCAGCACCTTCCGCAAAGATGGTAGGGAATCCATTATCGACGTCACTTTCTGCAGTCCATCGTTAGTGGCAAGTATGAAGAGTGTATGAGGAGTACACTCATAGTGACCATCAGGCGATTAGGTACAGCTTTGGGCAAGGGATACCTACGGCAATGTGGAAAACGAAAGTAAGCAAGCGGAGGTGGAAGACGAAGGCATTCGACAAGGATATTTTTGTAGAAGCTCTCCGGGTAGACTGCAGTGTCCCAGACCAAAGCGCGGATGAGTTGACCGAATCGTTAGCGAGGGCATGCGACACAACCATGCCGAGGAAATCGGAGCCAAGAAACAGACGGCGCCCAGCTTACTGGTGGAACGAGGCACTTAGCACCCTCCACGCTAGTTGTCTCCGAACCAGAAGGCGCGTTCAGCGGGCAAGAACTGATGCAGACAGAGCAAAGCAAATGGTGGTGTTTCGAGCAGCCAAGGCCGCTCTTAAACGGGAGATAGAGCTGAGCAAGTCAAACTGCTTCAAGGAGCTGTGCCGAAACGCTGATGACTACCACTGGGGTGACGCATACCGAGTCGCGATGGCGAAAATTAGAGGTCCAACGACACCCGTTGAAATGTGCCCAGACAAGCTGAAAGTCATCGTGGAGGGACTTTTCCCGGAGCACGACCAAATGACCTGGCCACCTACACCGTACGGCGAGGCAGACAACACCGAAGGAAGACAAGTCTCCAACGAGGAACTCGTAGCAGTGGCGAAAGGGCTGACGACGAAGAAAGCTCCCGGTCCGGATGAAATCCCCAACGTGGCGTTGAAGGCGGCGATCCAGGCGTTCCCGGACATGTTCAGGATAGTGCTGCAGAAGTGTCTGGATGAAGGTCACTTCCCGGACCGATGAAAGATACAGAACCTAGTGCTGCTGCCGAAGCCTGGAAAACCGCCGGGGGATCCAACATCTTATAGGCCTATATGCTTGCTGGATACAGTCGGAAAGCTATTGGCACGGTTTCCAACTGGATGCAAGGAGCGAAGCTGCAGATAGCCCACCACAAAATGGAAGTGATATTGGTCAGTAACTCTAAAACCGTCCAGCGGGCAGAAATTACCGTCGGGGAGAACGCCATAGCATCAAAGCGCGTGCTGAAGTATCTTGGAGTGATACTCGATGATCGGCTAAACTTCAATAACCACGTCGACTACGCATGTGAGAAGGCGGCGAAGGCCATCAATGCGATAGCTAGAATCATGCCGAACAACTCTGGACCAAGCAGCAGCAAGAGGCGTCTTCTGGCTAGTGTATCGTCGTCAATACTGAGGTATGGAGGTCCCGCCTGGGATGCAGCGCTGAAAACGAAGAAGAACCAAAGAAAATTGAACAGTACGTTCCGCCTCATGGCCATGCGTGTCGTGAGTGCGTACAGAACAATTTCGACGGAAGCAGTATGCGTTATCGCCGGTATGATACCCATCGTCATCACTTTGGCGGAGGACACCAAGTGCTACATGCGAAGAGAAACCAGAGGAGTACGGACATTTGCGAGAACGGAGTCGATGGCTAAGTGGCAGCAGGAGTGTGACGCAGAGGAGAACGGTAGATTTACACACAGGCTAATACCGATTCTTTCAACCTGGAGAAGTCAACTTTCACTTGACGCAGTTCCTGTCTGGTCATGGCTGCTTCAGGAAGTACCTGCATCGCTTCGGACACGCAACGTCACCCCTCTGTCCGGAGTGTGGCAAAGTGGACGAAACGCCGGAACACGTAGTTTTGGACTGCCCAAGATTTGAGGCAGTGCGAGTGCGGGAAATGTCGTCAGTGAAATGTGCCGGGATGAGAGGACGTGGAGCGTCGTCAGCAGGGCAGTGACGCAAAATAGCTGAGCTAAAGAGAAGTGCTTGCGCACAGCCCCCTCCCCCCCCCCCCGGCGAAATACACTAGGGGAGTTCCGGGGAGGGGGGGCTAGAGGCGAGTAAGGTTTTAGTGGAGTCCCACACTGTGCCCGAAGGAGAACACACACGCAACACAGTGACAGGCCGGGATTTCGGTACACCTTGGTGTACGAGAAAGGCAAAAAGGTTGGTATCAGTAAATTTTGTTATATTTAGCCAAGATTTTATCTCCCAGGTGAGTAATTATTTTGCAAAATGTAATGAATATGTTGTTTGGTATATTTTATTTCAAAACTGTGTTTGTAAAATCGTTACTAAAGTTTTAGTGATTAGCGCCAATTCATCATACTTGGCTTCGTACTCAGTACTCTCCATTTCTCGATGATCTTTATTTCGATATTTCTTCCTATCTGAATCGTTTCAGCAACCCTGATCATCAACACTTTTTGAGCACGAAGTGTTTAGAATCGTTTTAATAAGCTTATTAATTGCTCTTTTGACTGTCGATTTTCCCATATTTAGGTGCTGGTGAGTTGAATCTCTCACTAAGTTGTGCTCGTTCCCCGGCTGCTGACATGCAAAAGGACCAGTACTAAGTAGCTAACGGATTTCCACACTACATGGCATATAAGATCGACTCAAATATAGGTTTAAATTACTAAAACTCTAGGAAACGTAGTTTACTTGTAGACTGAGTAAAATTTTCTGAGCCTTTGTAAACCACCCAATCCATTTTTGGCCCTTCATGCAGCGACGTGTTGATGACAATCAGAGGTTGCTTAATCAAGACAAAAAGACAAGAGAGCCCACTGCTATCGGACTTAGTTTCCGTGCTAAAATGGGTGGTAAACCACTATCATGCTTCATGCATGCTCATGCACTTCTATTCAATTTTCAACCTGCCGTACTGTAACGGATCTATCTATCTACCCTCTTCAGACCTTTCTCTAGCTAATAAATTATCACACTAAAGCTTCATGTTAGATATAATTTCCAACGAACTTTGAAAATCAAAGTAACATAAAAACACTTTGAATGTAAAATTATTGTGTGGCTGAGTTAGAGGAAGGGGGAGCAGTGGCAAACGTCATTTTCAATAGCAACACTATTGAGCTACTTAGAAGAAATATTACGCATACAGCTATGGTTAATTAATTTTCTTATCACCAACTAAGTGCAACAGTCCTCTACCGGTATCGCCGACATCCAATAATGTCACAATCATTCCGTTCCGATCCGATCCAATCTACTCAAAGTCTCCCAAGAAGGTACCTATTTCCCCACCACCGCACCATCGCGGTCGTCAGGAGTGGCAATCAACGTTGTAACCGGAGACAGTTCACCCTCAGCTGCTGCTCTCAAGCCACTTATACGTCTGAGGGAGATGTTGGAACGCGAGCGATGATTCTTCGCTTTATCGTTATTACTATTACCTCATAGGTACCTCTCTCTCTCTTACTCTTCCCATCCACCGTCGCCGGCGTCGGTCGTCGACAAGGATGATGATAAGGTCTTCATTTTCAATGTCCCACTGTCACAGCTTATGGTTTTCTTTTACACACCGAAGCTTCGTAATGTCATCGTCGTCGTCGTCGTCGTCGGTGGAAAATGCGTTCCGCGAGATGGTTAATATAGAGATGATTATGACATGATAGTCCGGTTGGCCGGGTTAAATTGTACACAGTGTGGGATGGTGGGTAATAGAGAAGATTGAACCCCGGTTGCAACAGGGGAAATCATTGTGAGGATATTGCTTAAGTGGAAGGAATCATCTTCTGATAGCGGAACAAGTGGATACGGAAAACCATTCCAATCATCTTTCGAAGAAGCATAAATTCGGTTCTCCCCACGTGCATAAAAGCACAGTACCTTCCATCAAATAATAATCAAAAGTTTACCGGACCAAGAACAAAACTTTCCATCATGAACGAGCAATAAAAGCCAGCAACTGAATCCTTCGCCCTGTGCTCCGGAGATCGACCCCCACGAGAACAACCTCATCCCCACACGAACTGCATCCAAAGTTCGAAACCCACAAGTGAGGAGCTTCGAAACAAAAAAAGAATTGTAAAATTTATGAAAGTCATCTTGTTTGTGACCGGCATTCCAGTTTTATGTCTTTACCAGCAGCATTTCTTCCATTTTCTCCCGCAATACGATGGCCTTAAGCTACGCTCCACGCAGAGTGGTGGCCTAACGAAAAAATAACAACGGAAGCAATGATGCCCGACACACCATTGTTTCTCGCACCCACTTTGGAGCAACAGACATACACACACTCATACACATTCCCGGCAAAAAAAGAAAACCCACGCTCTTGGTTGAACTTTGACTCCGGGAATGGATTCCAAGTTTTCCGCACAAATTGTGTAAAAATTGTCTTTGTTTAC